AAGGTCAGGCAGGCACCAGAAGAGAAGTGGGCCAGGTCCCAACACCTTGGCAGGGACCGTGGCATCCGGGAGGGCACTTGGTCTGCCTCAAGGGTGGCCACGGCTCCTGGGGCCTCGCAAATTGTTTCTGTGCAGGAACACGCGCCAAGGCTGGTTCCTGTTTTTTTAAGACAAGTCAGAAATCTGGATTATTTCTTGCCCTGAAATCGCAGTTCGCAAGTGTTAGCTTCTAATTAGAAACAAAGAAAAACCAAAAGGAGTCGAGTTAAACATGTCCACTTGCCCCTGAATTTAGTTTGCAACTTGTGTCTGTGGTTTTCGACTTTGACTTCATGTCATGAAACATCTGTGGAGCTTTTAAAAACTACAGACCCTGGACCTCCTGTGCCATGGCTCACGGTGTGGCCCACACATCAGTTTTTATTTTCCTCAACAAGTTCGTGGGACGAGCATGAAGCAGGATCAGGGCTGCGATTCACGGGAAGCCTATGCAATATATAAAGCACGACTGTGGACGATGAAGCAGACTGTGGACACACAGGGACTTTGCTCAGTGGCTCTATCCTATGTGGCTTTCCACCGAGCAGTGCACAGGCACACCCTGCACCACTTCATGGGACCATAGGAAGGTCACTGTGCACACATTTCGAAAACAAATCCCCTTCAAATGAAACAAAGAACTCCAGGGGCCACCACCACCGCTAAGATCCAGAGCAGGTAATGACGCAAACCCATCTGCCTCCTGTGGGCTGCAAAGTACTATGGAGAGCTACCAAGGTGGGCCAAGTCGGCCCCCACCTCCACGGCCCGCTGCCTTCCTCGCGCAGTTTTCATTACACGAGTAAAGGCCCTCCGAAGAGCCCCTAAATGCATCCTTCTGCTCCCCAAAGGGCCCTACTCTCCCACCTACCCTGGCCTATTCTCTGTGCCTGAACTCACTCACTAGGCCAGAATTCAACTGGTACCTAAAATGTCCCCCTCGCCACTCCCAAACACTGTCCCTCCTCCAAACACTGTTCTAAGCTCCCCAGCTGGAAACGCACCTCCTTCCCATGGCCTCCACTCATTCGAACTCCCTTCAGTGAGAACACACACGGTTCTGACCTGCCCTGATACCCAGTGAATGCACACAGTAACCAGACTGCTTGGGTAGAGGGCTGAAGACATGGTTGAAAAGTTCTTCAGAACACACACGGATCCTTGCCAGGCTGTGCATGCACAGGGTGGAAACCCGAGCCACAGTGTAAAGCAAGTTGTGAAGTTTTTCTGTCTATACCCAGAATTCTGGGCAAAACTTAAGTTTTCTTCAAAGTTTATACAGAGTTTGCAAGCTCCTGAGTTAACATGATCCCCTGCTCCCAGACACCAGCCCCAAGTACCATGGGGCCCGCCCCATCTACTACTGATTCAAGAGGCACTGGAGAGCTGAACACATACATTCTGATCTCTGGGCAAATCCCAGAGTTAATGTTTATTGTAACTTCATGAAAAGTTTTAAAACAGTTGTTTCTCACCTATCCTGAAAATAAAATTTAGGGCAGAGGAAGGGGACAAGTGAGAACCTACTGATTTGAGGACTTCAACCGAGTTGTAGCTCATCAATAAAAATTCAGTTGCATCTTCTTCTCACAGGGGTTAGGTTTTAAGGCAACGACAGGGGTGCACGCTGAGAAAAGCCCAATGGCCCTTGAAAATTTGCAGCAACACACGGTCAGGCTAGATCAGCTGTTCTCAGCTGGGGGCAATGCTGCCCCCACCCCAGCCCCCACCAGGGGACTCTGGGCAATGTAGGCATATTTTGGTTGGCATGTCTGGGGAGGGGAGATGGTGTTACTGACATCTACTGGGAAGCAGTGGGGGAAGCTGACCAACATGTTACAATGTACGGGGCAGCCCCACAAGGGATTCCCTTGTTCCAAATACTTGCAGAGCTGAGGCAAAGAAGCTCTGGCCTAGATGATCCTTCCACGGAAAGCAAGAAACACGTCAGGAGGACGCCACCCTGACTCTGTTGGCCTCCCACTCTGAGCTCACTCCGGGGTGTCTCATTCAGTGGCTAGACTCACCTGCACTATTCAGACTCGTTTCTTGCTCTGTTTGCAGAGCACCTAATCTAAATGTGTCTGTAAGTAAAAATCGTCCATGTAATAAAAACAGCTGCCCTTTGCTGACTGTTTATTCCTGTGTGTGGAGATAGGTGCTAAATAATTCATGTGCATTAATTTATCCACTGCTCACAGCAACCAGAAGATAGATGACTGTCCTCCCTCCCATTTTACTGGTGAGAAAACCGAGGCTCAAAGGAGTCAAATATCTATCCAAAGTCACTCAGAGAGCACACAGCAGAGTCAAAGCACAAACCAGGTTCTCTGTAAGGCAAAGCCATGCCCCGCTGTCACTCATCAGTTCATACCAGTGGATGTCACGGGGTGGCGGGGGGAGGGATGGGAAGAGCGATTCTCCCCACCCCCTGCCCCAGCACATATGGCAATGTCTGAAAGCATTTTTGGTTGTGATGACCCCTGGGGGAGAGGGCAGGGCAGCGGGTGCTGCTGGCATCTAGGGGTGGGCTCAGGGATGCCGTTACGTTGCAAAACATCCTAAAGGCATAGGACTGCTCCCACAAGAGAGCCATCTGGCCTGAGACATCAGAGGGCCAAAGCTGGGAGTCCTGCCTTACACCGTGGCTCGGGTTTCCACCCTGTGCATGCACAGCCCAGAAGGATCCGTGTGTGTATGGTATCTTTTAATGCTGAGATCTAGAACCCAGGCCATGATTTCCCATAGCTCATATACACTTTGCTCACCCTCTTTCCACTTTTTACCTTTACTAGGGACAAAGCACTGCTTTCAAATCCTAACGTTCATCTACAACGAGGCATAACTCCAGAGGTAGGCTGATATAAGGAGTTTGGGATGTATCAATAGCAAAATGCTAAGCGGAAGAGAATGTCCCTGGACACAAGTGTAAAACACACCCATCACACTCTCTCTCTCTCTTTCGGGAGAAAAGCATTCCAACTGGCCTTTAAAAGTAATGGACTATAGGACGGCTAAAAAAGGACTGTGGGAGCTGCTGCCACCATCCCTGAAGAGCCCACCCTGGCAACGAGGACTGACAAGGTGCTGAATTGGGTGAAGAACTGGAAACACTTCTTTGAACAAGGGAACAGCACACCTAGCCTATCTACTTAAGCAGGTGGTTCTCAACCCCAGCTGCACAGCAGAATCGCATGTGCTGCTTTCTCACTGCGTGAAAGCCCAGGGCCCATCCAAAACTTCACAGGATCAGAATAAGTGGGGTGTGGGGACTGAGCGTTTGTGGCGTTAAGGAAGCTCCCCAGGCGATTCTGGTGCCCAACCCAGGTGGGCAGCCATTGCCTCAGACTCACGCAGAGGTGGTGACGGCCCAGAGAAGAGTGACAGAGGGGCTGGGTGTGAGGATGGGCCAGCTTAGAATCTCAGTCTGGAAGGACTAAAGCCATGAGGGTGTTTAGTTTCCACAGCAGGAGGTCCAGAAAGCACAGTATGGGCCAGTCCCTGAAGCTACACGGGCAAGAGAGCCCTCTCTGCAGTGGATAAGGAACCGAACTTCCAAGCAGGCTGTACAAGCCAAAAATAAGACACAGAGTCAAGAAACATGTAAGACCAATGAAAGGATGGCAGGGATACGGAAGCCTTGGTGTCCCTAGGACAACCATGACAGAAGTAGCGTCAGAGGCCAAGCTCTAGTGAGTGCAGCATTTATCAGGCAAAAACCTTTAAGTGTCAAACAGTCCATTTCTCTTTTTGACAGCTCTCCTGTCAGAACATATGCTAGAAATGGTATCTCTGGAAAACAGGGGTCCGTGATTTTCCTTTTGTGCGTCTACCTCATGGTGAGCACCCTTGCTGATGAATTCATTCATTCATTTGCTCATTCGACACACGGTTCCTGGAGGCCCACTCTGTGCCAGGGACTGTCCTAGACTCGGGATCCATCAGCGATCACGATGGATAAAAAGCCCTGCCCTCTTGGAGATTATGTTCTAGTGGAGGGGCAGACAGACAAGCAAACCCCGGATGATGGGTGGTGATAAGCACTGTGAGGTAAGCTAAGGAAGGGTACGGGGATAGGGAACACGGACACAAACCAGAACAGGGGACCAGAGAAGTCCTCAGTAATAAAGTTCCAGCTAAATGAGAACCTGAGGGAGTGCCGGAGCGAGCTCTGGGCCATCAGGGGAAGACCTTCAGGCAGAGGAACCAGAGGTCCCAAGGCATAAAGGAGGGAGGGGAGAGGCCACTAGGGGGACCCTGAGGAAGGAAGAGTGGCTGGGGCAGAGGAGCCGGGGAGGGGGAGGAGGGGAGGGCCCGGGGCTTGTCGGGGCCACTCTGGTTTCTGCACTGAGACTCGGGAAGGGTGGAACGGAGGCCCGGGCGGTGGCGGTGTTGGTGGTGAGAGGTGGTCGTGCTTCAGACACACATTTAAGGTACAAGGGACAGGATCTGCTATGGCATACGAGGGGAGAGTAGTAACGGGTGACTTCAAGCCTTTTGCCCTGAGCAATCTGAAGGAAGGGTTTGCATTTACTTCAAGGGGAGAAGGCCGATGGACAGGCAGGTTCTGGGGGAAAAGGCAGGGACTTTGTCTGACTGGCCTATGAGACATCCAGATGGAGATGCTCAGGGTGATGCTGCATAGCTGAGTCTTGCGTTCGAGAATGGGCTGAACACATAAATGCAGAGTGCGTGACACTGACTCCCATTTCCCCGGTCCCTCTTCTGCTTTTAACCAGGCCTTACGAGCTGTAACATCCCAACCCTCACGCTCCCTTTATCCCCTTTATCTTAGGGAGGAGATGCCGCGTACAGTGGTCCAGAGTTGGGGGCGGGGGCTCTGCAGCCAGACTGCCTGGATTCACTCCCCTGCTCCTTACCCGCCGGGTGACCCTTCGGAGGGGCAACTGAAGCGCGCTCGGTGTGCTCGCCAGGAGAACGGGGCTAAGGGCACCACCTACCTCGTGGAGCTTTTGGGAGGAGTGCGGTGACCCGAGACAACACGGGTCCAGACTCTGAACGGCACGTGGTACCGTCCCAAAGGCTCCGCCAGGGTGGGCGCCTCGCTCTCATCACACACGCACTCCTGCGGCTCAAGGTGGAAGCCTCGGGCCACCCCTCCGACAGCGGGGAGCGTGGTGTGGGGGGTCAGGGCCAGGCAGGGGGCCAGCCTGCCTGCGGTCGTGCACCTGGAAACGGAGGGAGCTAAAAATAGGCCTCGGAAGTCCTGACGCTACGGCGACATCAACACCACGGTCGATTCAAGCCGACACCAGCCTCACCGAGTGCTTTTTCTGGGGGGATTCGGAACCATAACGTTGTCAACAACGCTCAGGTGGGATGTCAGCGCTCCACGGGGGAGGGGGCCGCGCAGTCTCCGTCTCCTCCTCTCTCTGGAAGCGCAGCCAAAAAAAGGGGCAAAGCGCAGCCAGGGCTTTCAGCGGCCCCCCATCCTGAGGCCGGGCCTGAAGAGGGGAGACGAGGCGCGACTCTCGGGCCGCCACCAAGGACCCGGGGGAACTGGCGGGAATTGGGGGGCCGAGTAGCGGTGAGGTGGGGGTGGACACGGCCCGGCCGTCGTCCCTCGTCGAGGGCGGGCACCCCACAGCATGAGGGGCGGGCCGGCTCGGCGGCCAGGCGGGCGAAGGGGCGGCCCTGGTCCCCGAGAACGAGGGGGCGGGGAGGGAGCGCGGGGCGACCGGCCCCCGACCAGGCCCGGTGATCTATTTACATCGGAGGCCGAGGTGCTGAGGCCGCGCATCCCGCCCCCTCCAGCTCCCGGCCTGGCCCGCTAGGCGGAAGGGCCGCAAGGTGGCAGCCCCAAGACCCCCGGACCCTCGGGCCGGACGGTGGCAAGGCCGGGGCTGCCGGGAGTGATGGGCCGGGCCGGGGAGCCCGGCCGGAGGGGACGCAATGGGGGGCGGCGGCGGGGCCCGCTAGGCCGCTATCCCGAAGCAGACGGGCCCCCCGCACTCCGGTGTGCTCACCCGTCGGGCCTGGGGCCCCTGGGCCTCCCGCCGCCCGCCCCCCGGCCGCCAGCTGGCCCCCAACGGCACCTCCCCTACCTTCGTTCGCCAGGTCCGCCATTTTACTTCCTTAAGCACTCCCACAAGGCCCCGCGCCGGCCCGGGCTTGCCGGCTTTCTGCCAGAAACTCCTGCGCGTGCGCACTCCGTAAACCGACTCCGAGCGAGGCGGGCAGGTCGCGCCTGCGCGCTGAGCCCAGCGCGGCATCTTGCCCTGGATCGCGGACTCGGCGGGGGCCAGGCTCCCAACACGCGCCTGCGTACTAACCGCCCCCGCCTCCCGTTCCCGCCGACCGAGGGGGGCGTGGACAGGGCGGGGCCCATGCGCCGCGGGCCTGGCGCGCGTCCCGAGCAACGCGTGAGCGAAACCTCAGTGAGGCGGCGTGCAGTGGGCTGGCCCTTGGCGTACCCGCCGGGCGCTCGTTTCGCCGTGTGTCCCGTCGTTTCCGAGCGCCCTGGGTACTGTCTCCACGGTCCTCATTCACCTAATGGGCTGAACGACCCTCGAGGCTGGGAGGAGGTCGTACACACTGGACCCGACTCACCTGCTGCGCATCTCGGCCCAGCCTCCGGGCCCTGAGCCTCCTCCCCGCAGTACAGCCTTGACCCAGCGGTTGTCACCAGCCTGGCTGTCCCGAACCTGAGCTGGTCGGTCCCCATCTTTCCCCTGGAAGACGGGATGGCCTTCCTGTCTGCTCCCCTTCCTTCATAATATTCTGTAGCAGAGGAATCTTTTCTTTATCCTATCAGGAGCCCTTAACGCGTCCAAAAGGGTTTCTGCTGGGCTTGGGATGAATACTAACTCTTTATTCAGGCTTACCGAGCCACCCTGCGCCCCTTGCTCAATGCACCTCAACCATACGGGTCTTTGTGATCCGGCCTCAGGATCTTTGCACTGGCTGATCCCTCTGCTTGGGACTTAGTGCCCATGCCTCCTTGGTTCCCCCCTTGTCCAGTATGATCTAGGTGAGGAGGTCCTATGGCTCATGGGCCACATCTGGCTTGTGAGCTGAGAATGGTTTTTACATTCTTAACTAGTTGTGTGGAAAAAAATCAAAAGAACACTATCCCATGACAGGTGAAAAATCATAAGACATTTAAATTTCAGTGTCTGTAAGTAATATTTATTTGAAAACAGCCACACTCAATTATGTATTGTTGATGGCTGCTTTCCGTCTGCAAGAGCAGAGCCGAACCCTTTTAACAGAGTCTGGACAATGATACATAAAGTAATTTCTACTTGGGTCTTAATAGAAAAAGTTTGCCAACTCCTGATCTAGGACGTATGTGTTTACATGTTTGTCCCATACGTCTCTGTACAATTGATGGGGTTGTGGGAACTGTTGAACTGCTTCTCTGGGGGAGAATGTGTGTGTGTCTGTCTTGTGTACGTCTATGTGTACACATGTGTGCCTGTGTGTATAGTTTATTGGAAAATTTACTATTTCCCCATCATTTTCTTAAGCCTAAAAGACAATTAATAAAGCAACACATGGAGCTCTGGATTGTAGTGCTGATTTTTTCTTTTTTTGGTGTAAATATTTCAACCATGGTAGATTTCAAGCTACTAAGGTGTCATTAACTGCAGAGTTGGGAAGAAAGAGCACTAGGTTCTACTGTCAGTATCCCCAAATCAGCAGCATCAACATCACCTGAAAGCTTATTGGAAATACATAATCCTAGGCCCCCTCCCAGACCTGAATGGGAATACACGCCCAGGGGCTTCCCATGCACGTGAGATCTTGATAACTGTTCGTGGTTGTTTTTTTGTGTGTGTATGTGTTATTTTTCATTTTTGTACTTATTTATTTATTTTGTTTTTGTGTTCAGGGGCTTTTAAATGGAATTTTTATTTGTTGTTGAGCCTGGGGTTTATTTAATACTGTTACAAATTTCCTCAACTTTATTTAAATAGACACCTTGATTCTGCAGCCCCACACTCGGCCACCAGGCCCCAGGCACAAATGACCTTGAGTTAGAACTTCTCCAGGTGTAGCTGTGATATCAGTGGTGGACGATCGTGGGGTTCGTCCAGGCTGTCTGGTCTCCAGCAGTGTGTAGACTTGGGTTTTCTCATTTCTAGCTCATTGGTTTCATTACGTTCATATTTCATTATGCGTAACTGCTCTTGGGTAGGCCTTGGCCGTTGCCATATCTCTGAACCCTCTGACTTAATGAAACAAGATACTCTATTTGCCTTTTTTGGTTTAAATTTACTTAATAGAGACTGTATCACATTTAGAAAGGAAAACCACTAAGCCACGAATAGGAGGTAATTGTAAAAATAAGCAGGAAAACAAAACAAGGTGTTTAAATCCTGGGGAGACACTGTTGCCTGCAAAGGTGCTGAGCCCATGCCTGCTCTTTCTTTGATGTAAAGAGAGACTAGCCAAGTATTAGAGGGGTATTAGAGGCGTATTATCACTCCACTGGAACTGTCTCCATGACACGATGAGAAAGAGAGACCAAGAATCAAAAGCAGGCTAGATCTAATCATGTGATCCGGTGTCACTTAATGCCGTGTCTACATGTCTCCTAAAGTCATTTCAGACACCACATTCATCCCACGTGTTGGACAACTGCCAGAAACATGTCATCACTTGCTAAATATAGTCCAGTTGCGGTTTTTCAAGGGACGTTGAGAGATGCTGAACCCATCAGCCTAACGAGTGAACTAAATTTCCACTGGTTTCAAAATTCCCGTCATGGTGCTGATGGCTGCCAACACGATGCCCCTGGGGCCTTCCTTTGCTCTCTTTTTTTCTGGTCTCCCCTAACAGATGAACTTAGTCAACACTCGTTTATTAAACGAATATTTGTGGAGCACTCACAGTGGTGGTTTTAAGGTATGGCGCCCAATTCTTTTGACCCTCTTCCCGTGAAGCCATGAGGGTCTGTTCCCTTGCCTTGAAGGGGGGCGTGGGCCTGCTACTAGCTGATGAATAGATGAGCAGCGGAAGTGACGCTATGTAACTTACAAGGCCAGGTCCCAACAGAGACAGAGGCAACTTCCCTGTGCTTTGCAGCCACCATGTGCAGAAGTTCGACTGTCCTGAGGTTGTCATGCTGTGAGGAAGCGGAAACAGAGACCACCTGGCAAAGCCCTGAGAGAGATCTGCCCAGCCTGGCCCTTCCTGTTCTTCACCCACAGAAACCATGAATGATAAATCAAATGACAGTTGCTGTTATAAGCCACGAACTTGGGGAATATGAGCTAGGCAGCACTGTCTATCCCCCCCCACCTGCTCTGTGCATCAGGCCCTGTTCATATTTGCTGTGCAGCAATGAATATCCATGCACCTGCTTGGCAGTGGGCACTGGGCAGGATGCTGGGGCCCAGGATAAACCAGGCAGACCCTGACTTCATGGAGCTTTGTGTTATTTTGTGAGGAGACTGACAAGAGACCGGGTAAGCAGAAATAATTTGAGGTAGAGACCAGCACTACAAAGAAAACAAAAAAGCATTTGTGACAGAGTGGAGAAAGAGGGGATACTTTTGATTGGTTGGCCAGGCAAGTCCCCTCTGAGGAAGTGACATGTAGTCAAAGATCTGCCGGAGGGTCATCCCAGATGGGACAGTGAGTGCCAAGGTCCTGAGGTGGACTCAGATGCTACTTCCCCTCAGTCTCTAGTCCAAATCACTTCCCCGGTCTTCCCTTAATGACACTGGTAATGAGTCCTGCCTGGCCTGCTTGGCAGAATGTCCCTTACTGTTTGTTGGTTTGAATGTGTCCCCCTGGTGAAATTCAGGTTATGCGTTTTTGGCAGGAATGCCGCGGGGCGATGCTGTGTCCCTCACGCACCCAATCCAGAGGCGTCGATCTGCAACATGACTGAGGGCGCTTAGAACCTTGGTCTAGATGGTTGTCTGCTGAGCTACACCTTCCTTCCCTTTGTGATGATTGAGTGCAGTGTGGGGAGACTTTTCAGTCCATGTAAATAGAGGGAATATTTGGGGAAGGGAAGGGGAGGCAGGGGTGGGGGGAGAAGGAAGCCAGCTCATTCTAGGTGTTGGGTGCTGCCTTTCCTATCAGGGCTGTTGCAACTTAAACCAAACTGCTAGTGTTGTAGGCAAAATCCCAGCTGGCCAGGTTCCCTCCACAACCCGAAAAGGGAGAGGCTGTGTCACCCACTGACCGCTAGGGGGCGGCAGGGGACTGGGATTGAATTCAAACCTCAGCTCCAGGAAAAAAGCCTTTCAGTCCCGTCTAAGTAACTGAACTCAGGGGTGGAGCTGGACTTGGTAATTGCCCAGCACTTGGCGCTCTGAGGATCACACTCCCAGCACTACAGATACGCCACTTCTCCATCCTAGGGGGTTCTGCGAATCCCTTCTAAACCTGAATGCAAAATTCTGGGGTACTGGGGGGTGCATTGATTTGGAGACTGGTTGCAAACCCCCAGACCACCTTTGGCAAGTGCAAGCAGTGCAGGTGTTTGCTGGGAAGTTACAAGGATGCTCAGGAGCTCAGCCGGAGGGAGGAAACCGGGCAGCTTCAGTGGATCTTGGGAGAGGAAGCGTTCTTTAGAACGGGCAGGCACGTCCCTGAGAAGGCCCAAACCTCTAGGGCTTTCTGACCTATACACAGCTCACGGTTCAGAATCTGAGGAGCAAGCATTGGGTGGGTCCAGCACAGCAGGTCAGTTCCTAATCCTCATGTGCCCTCACTCTGTCTGTTTCACGCCTCCCCCAAATGTTCACAGAGCAAGTGCTTCTAGGCGCCCAGCTGCTGGTCTCAGAAGCCATTTGAGACACAAGCGGAGGCATCTCGTGGGCAGGGGAGCTCCCAATCTACGCCCAGGTTATCTGTGAGCCACCGTGCCTGGAGCGAATGCCCACGTCCCCACTGGGATGCAGGAAGCCCTTCGCACCCCCCACCCCCACCTCAGTTCTCCCTCCAACCCCCGCTATGGCCCTGTGCCAGCCACCCTGGCCCCCCCAGCTGCTCCCTACACAAGCCAGGCCCCCAAGCCATCCCCCGCACCCCTCCACCCGGAACAGTCTTCTTCAGCATGCACGTGCCCACGGAGAGATGCTGTTTAAGATCACGGAAGAAGGGTCATTTCTCAAAAGGGAACCGGGGTGTCACTCTAAAAGGAGCTGATGTCCCGCAAACCTCCATCACAGGAGTCTAGAAGGGACTCGTGACCTCAAAATGGGTGAGACCTCCTCGCTGGTATTGCAGCTGAAAGGCAGGCCACCTGGTTGGGTCCCGGGGGTTTCCAGGATTGGTCACAAAAATCTGTGGGGCTCAGTGCAGAATGAAAGTGGGGACCCTTTGCTGAAAATTATTAAGAATTTCAGATTAAGCCAAGCACAGGCCCCAGACCTGCCAGGCCAGGGAAGGGATGGACGATTTTAGTGTCACCTGGGGGCCCCAGGGCCTCTTCCTGGGACACAAGGGCCTGGGCTGGGGCTGAGGCCAAGAACCTCTGGGGCATGGGGTGCACTGGGCTGGCACTGAGAAGCAGCTTTTAGAGGCAGCTGACCAGAAACTGCATCCAGGTTTCCAGAACATCCTTGGGCCCTGAACCTGTGGCTCACCTGACATCTCCTGTGTCAGAGCCCCCCTGAGAGGGGTCCCAGCCCCAACCCCAATTCCACAAGGCTGGCCCTCTGCAGGTGGGGAGGGTTCAGACGTGTGGCCCCACCACTCTACCAAATAAGCCCCGAGAACCACAGGTGGGGGTCCTCAGCTGAAGCATGCACTGGTTTAGCCAAATCTGAATGAGTCTAGGGTGTCTACAAATAGTCCTGGCCATCCTGGGCTGAGAATCGTCTCTTTGCCATCTCTGGTCCAGGACTGGCCTTGCTAAATGAAGCTTAGGGAACCCGGTACTTCTGGAATGTTCTCCAAGAAGCCCAGGGGAAAGTGTTGAAGGCAGCCACTTTCCCTCTGGGCCCCATGTGGCCTCAGGGGGACAGCCTCCGGGATGTGGGGCAGGAGGAGCTGGAGTGTGGATTGTGACCCCTGAATTGGGTACATGCAACAGGTTTGTTGCAGCGAGACGCAGGAACGGGCTGGGAAGGCTCCTCTCTTTACTGTCACTTCCATTCCCCCTGGCAGAATCCTGCAAAGGACGAGACAGAGCCTAAGGTGGAAACCCACTTTGTATTGTTCCCCACATGTGGAAGAGCAGGCAGGCCATTACGATCCAAGAACTGTGAGCTTAGCCAGCTCCTGGGAGAGGAGATAATATGTTAAAGACATTCTTTCTGTCTGATTTCATCTAAGTATTGAACTATAAGACCAGAAAAACATTGGGATTAATACAGACTTTTGGCTTCTGAAAAAGCACCCATCTCTCTTGTAGTGCCCCTCCCTGCACGTCAGGAAGTGCCCAGCGCCCCTGCACATCAGGAAGTTAAGGTTTTGAAAGGCCAAAGGAGTTTACATTAGTACCTTCTGAGTGAATGAGAAAAAAAATGCTGGGGAACCAAATACACTGCGGTATTAGATACATTCATAAGAAACATCCTAATAACAATTAGAGAACAAAACTATTGATACAGACACATTTCCAGAAAGAGAAACTATTGCATTTCAAGATGCGCGTCCTAGACCAGCCCTGGTCGGCCTTTGCAGTAGGTCTGGGGCAGCGCTCTCGCCGGGCGCTAGTCAAATCCGGCTTGGTAGATGGACACACATCTGGAGAGGTTGTGGTTCCAGGCTGGCAAGTCCCCAGATAAGAGTTTTGGCTTTGAGTTGATCCAGATGGGACATGCCTGGGTTCACAGAGTTCCAAGATGGCTAATTCAAAGGCTGGTGTTCTGGAAGATTCTGGGGAGTGGGATGTAGATACAGCTGTTGTGCACAGACGTGATGGGATGACTGCTCTCTGAAGGCGCCCCTGAAGTGCTGACCATGGGCCCGCTTGGAACAAACTCACTGCAGGCCCAGCGTTTGGCTTGATGTTGGCTGTGAACTTGGAAGAGCCCCAGTGCTTCCCGTTGCTGATTCCAAAAACGTATGGTTTTGATTCCTAAAGGCCCCAGCGGGGCTTGGCACGACGGGACTATTCCTGACTTGGTCTCCGAGCCACGTGGGGCTGCGGGCTGCCTCTGGGGACCTTTGGCGCCTAGAGGGGGCTCGCCTCTAGCCTCAGCCCAGCAGGCAGGGCAGGAGGCCGTGGTGAGTGCCGAGGGTCCCTTCCCGCACAGAGGCACAGGGCGGGGGCTCTGTGGATGCCCAAGAACTGAGGATATCCCTTCCTTCCCAGGATCTGCCCAAGTTTAAAAAAATCACGGTGGAAATTGGAACCAGCAGAATGGGGGAGAAGCCCAGCACAGCCCTGGCACTGGGGCCGGATGCATGGCCGGCTTGGATTGGGGCTCGGCCTCCAGCAGCAGAGAGGATAAAACAGTCACGACGCCTGGGCAGCGCGCTGAGCTGCACTCAGGGGCAGTGGGGTGTCTGCCTGGCTGACATCTGGTGTCCTCCAGGGGCGACAGCGCCCGGCTCCCTGAGTCGGGGTGAAGGCCACATCGCCTAAGAGGCACTACTGTGGTGGGGCCAGGCAGTCCCCGAGGCAGGAGGGCGCCCAGCTAAACGCCCTGCAGGGAGGGGCTGGGGTCGCTGCGCTCGCACTTCACCAGGGGCTCACCCAGGCTGCGGGCAGCAGGGTGGGCCTCACCGCCCCGGCCCTCGCTGATGTCCTCTGCGTGGTCAGCATTGGGGAAAGGATGAGGGCAGCAGGCAGGGGAGGGAGGGAGAGAAGTGTGTCTCAGAGAGGGGCCTGCTGTGGACAGGCAGGGCTGGGGGGCTGGCCTCCCGTCTGCATTTGCCTGGTCCTCCCCAGCCAGCCTGTAGCACCAGGGGGTTCCATACCCAGGCCTCCCAACCAGGGCCGTTCACCCCAGGGTCCCCCTCAGAGGGTGGTCCTCCCACCCTCCCAGGGCAGGAAGTGGGGTGGGCTGGAGGCTCTGCACTGGCCCTCCAGATGTGGCTGCAGGTGGCCAGGGGCAGTGGCCCTGCTCCTCAGGGCCTGGGGGGTAGGACTAAATGTCACCCCAAAGGACTACCCACCAGGAGGGGGTGACACAGCTGCTCCCTGAGCCCTGGCTGGGGCCCATCCTGCAGAGGCCTGTCTGGACGTGGCTCCCAGAGGCCCCCACCCACTCCACCAGGGGGAACAGCCCCTGGACTGCCCAGGGGAAAGCCATCCACAGACCCACCTTTGTCAAGCAGTGTCAGCGACAGGGAGGCTAGATGGTTGAACTGGAAGAGAGACGCCCAGAGTCAGGCCCCCCAGGGCAGGTCCTGTGAAAGCTAAAACGGGCTCTCACTCCTAAGTGACAGGGTCGGGGGTACACCCTGATGCTGGGGGTGTCCCCTCTGATGCTTTCTGAGATGCACCTGGGAGCTGTGGAGGCTTAGGGGTCCTGACTGCTCAGGCCAGCAGGGAACAGGGGCTGTGACACCACGTATCACAGCTTATTACGTACTAAAACCTCGCTTCTCACTACCCCATGAGACCCAGCAATTCCACTCCTAGGAATTTACCCAAAGAATGAAAACAGCAGTTGGAACAGAAGCGTGTATTGTACCCAAATGTACACAACAGCAGCACTATTCACAGAGCCAGTGAGTGGGAACAACCCACTGCTGATGGATGCATGGGCATGACATGGCCCAGCCACACACGGAGCAACACGCAGCCACAAAAAGGAGTGGGGTCCTGCCAACGTGCTACACGTGGACAGACCCTAAACACATGGTGCTCAGCGAGACGCCAGACACAGGTGGCCACATGGTGTGTGACCCCATTTCTGTGAAATGCCCAGAACAGGCAGATCCACACAGATGTGGGTTTGTTGGTGCAGGGGGCTAGGGAGGGGGCTTCTCTTCGGGGCGATGGAATGTTCTGGAATTAGAGGTGGTGGCTGCACAACTCTGTGAAATGCACTAAATGCCAGTGAATTACTCACTTTGAGATGTTTACAATGGCAAGTTTTACGTCACATGTATTTTAGCACAGTAGGACCCCCACAGGGTGGGTGCTTGAGACCTCCATCTGGAGGAGGAGTCGTTCCCAGGGCCGCAGGGGGGAGGCAGGGGAGCCAGGATCTGGGCTCAGGTCTGGGGGCTCCGGCACGAGACCTCTCCCCACCGCCCGGCCTCCTCCTGTGCTTCCTCCCTGGGCCGGCACGTGTCCTGCACGGCGCACTGCCCTCCTCCCAGGGGGCCGCCCTGTGGCCCACCACGCTTCCTGGGCCCTCACCTCTCCCATCATGGCAATCGGTGTCTCTCCTGTGGCCTCTGCCACACGGTGCTCCACCAGGTAGAACATGTACTCGTCGTAGAGCAGGCGGATCAGGTGGAAGGAGCCGAAGCTGGCCGCACTGCGCAGCGTGAGGTCACGGATCACCATGGAGCTGGGGGTGGCAGGCAGCGGGTGGGGGCTTTCCGGGGAGCACAGAGCCCCAGCAGGCAGTCGAGCCGGGCTTTTCTTCCACTCCTAGGTTGTCTGAGGCCCCTGAGCCCTGCAGGGGCCTGCCAGCTGCCCAGACCACCCCCGAATCTGGTGTGACAAGTGGGGACAGGCAGCCAGGAGGCAGCAGAGAGGTGGGCTCGAAGCCAGAGGCCATGGAGCCACGGAAGTGAGGGCCTGTGCCGCACGCCCGTGGGAGTCTTGTCAGCGCATGGCTGCCTCCCAGCGGTGGCCTCTCCTGACCTCCCCGCACTCAGGAGGCTGCCCCGCAGGGGGCCTTCCCTCCCCCATCTAAAGCGGGGCTGGCCAGCTACGGCCCCGAGCCAGCCCCACGCACAGCCTGGTTTTGGACAGCCTATGAGCTGGGAGTGATTTTACAGTTTTAAATGGTCGGGAAAAAAGTCAAAGAATTATATTTTACAACCCAGGGATAGTACCCAAACTCCACATTTCAGCGTCCGTAAAAAGTTTTATTGGCATGTGGCCATGCTGTGTGCCAATAAAAGTTTATTACCCAAATATACTTATTATCTGATTCTTCACAGAAAAAGTGACCCAATCTGCCAGCCCGTCCTACAGACTTCAGACTTGCCAGGCCCCACAGTCATGTGGGCCTGTTCCTTGAAAAAAAATCTCTTTGTAGATGCAGTATATACTGACAATTTATATGGTGACATATAACTGTGTTTTCAGAGGCACCTAGAAGATATAGGCCCCCGGGCACTTGCCTGGCACCACTCCTGGGGAGCCGGCGCCGATTTCCTCCTCCGCTTAGACTTGGCAGTGCGCAAATCAAGGCCGAGGGTTGCTTCAGGGGTGAGGGCCCTTCAGGGGCTCACTGACCTAATCGCCCTCCTCACCCCATTTCCCAGACTCCTGCGTTCACCTCCCATCTGCCGTCATCTGCTCCCTTAGGGCCTTGGGGGTTTCTGCCTTTTAAAAACGTCCTTTCCTGTCCCTTTTTGGGGGTTCTCTAGCGAGCGGACATGAACACATGTGGGGGCTGCCGCGCCTCTCCTGAGGGCCCCACGGTGGCCATCTCCATCCTCGGGGCCTGTGCCCTAGTCTTAGGCCCTGGGGCAGGGGAGGGGGTGGCTCGGCCAAGATGAGGCCTCCGCGAGACCCAGAGAGGACCTACCTGTAGAAGGACCACTTCAGCAGGAACTGCCGGGCAGCCCTGGGGAATCTGGGGCTGCCTGCGTGCTGCTTCAGGGCCTGGGTGACCACGTTGTCGAGCCAGCGGGCCCACTGGTCCAGGGAGCTCTGCTGCTGCAGGGTCAGCTTGAAGTCCTGCTCCAGCCACTGCACCACCCCGTCCTCACACTGGCACACCCACGAGGCTTGCTCCTGCGGGGTGTCTGGGTCAGGACGGGGGGCAGCTACAGCCCCCATACCAGGGACCCTGGCCGACCATGCCGTGGCCTGAGCACAGCTCAGACAGGGACAAACGGGCATCCAGAGGGGGACCTAGCCCCTCTGGATGTCCGCATGTCAGTCCAGGCTTCCCAGATCTGAGCTGTGCCTTCTGTTCACTTCTAAGCACCCCCTCTTCTAACTGTACTGGTCTACATACTGGGTACACTCAGGGCCTGAACTGGAAGTCGATAGATTTGCTGATGCCTGTACTTCTCCAAGCAGAGGAGAGAGCCACGAAATGGCAACGGGAAGGCAAACTTTAAAGAAAATGAACAAAGGCTTTGGTCCCAGCACCTGGATGCCGGGGATCCAGGAGGTCACGGAGCGCTGGCCTGGGGTCCCTGGGTGGACCTGCTTCATGCAACAGAAACCTGTGTGCCAGTTTTTGCTGTGGGCTGAATTCTCTGGGTCTGCACATTTTCCGAGGGGTCGGAAGGCTAGGCTGGCGGGGTGGGGGCCAAGCGCTAGAGAGAGTCACCTGCACGTTGGCGAAGTCCACACGGTTGAGGTCGCTGAGCATCTGGTTGATCTGGGAGGTGTTCTGCAGCACTGCGCGCGCCGCCTGAGCCAGGTGATTGAGGGACGTGTATCTGCGCAGGGTCTGGGCGAAGGCACTGACCACCGCAACCTGGGCAGGGCGGCAGGGAGGGTGAGCCCCGCACACGTGGGAAGGCGCCTCTTCCCCTCGGAGGGACCGGGGCCCAGGGACGGTGGGGGTGGCAGGGAAGAGGCTCAGGGGCCTAGGCAGGAGAACAAGCAGAGGATGCGGGCATCACAGGCACCACGCAGCATCGCGGCCCAGTCTCCTGCCCACCCCAGAGCACCTCTGGCTCTCGGGCGGTTGGTGAAAACATTCCCGGGTGACACTGGACCAGACTTTGTGGGGTGTGGCCTGGAAATCTGCATTCGAACAACCATCTGGGCAGGGCTCCTGCAACCTGGAGCCTGGGGTCTCCGGCCTGACCCGTCAGGTCCCGACTGTGGGCCGGCTGGCTGACCAGGGCTGGGGTCCGGCCTCAGCTGCCAGCAGCAGCCCCTCAGGAAATGCTCATGAGGCCCTCCTTTTTGGCACGTAGGCCACATCTCCACATTTTAGTTTCTGATTTGAGGCCAACCCTATTGTGATGAGGATGATGGTCGGCAGACGAAACCCGCTCCTGTGATGAGCACAGGCCGCTGTTTTGAGTCTGCCCAGCTGTGTCACAGCAGACGGCGCCCTCGGTCCTGGCCTCGCTGCCAGCCCCCGCCCTCAGTCAGCGGCATTCCCGGGGGCTTCCTGTGGGCCCGACGGGAGCAGCTGCTTTCTCTGGGGCCCAGTGGTGCCCAAGTTCCCCGGGAGTGGCACAGGGGGACCCCCCACTCTGAGCCCTCTGCCCCCCCTCCCCCCGCCCTCCCCCCGCAGTTACCTTGGTCTGGATGACCTGCTGGGGGAAGTCGCTCATGGCATTTGTCAACCAGCCTTCCAAGCTCTTGGCAAAATTGCGGATGGCCTGTGTCAAGGTACCTGGGAGAGCGCACGCATGAAAATCAGCCACCCTGAAGACCACACAATGCAGAGGCCACGAGGGGCGACTGGGGAGCACAGGGACACGGGGACAGGAACAGGAGGGGCGAGGGACCGGGCCGGCACAGCGCCCGGCTCTGTTCGCCCTCTGCCTGTGCTGGTGACTCTCGCCCGGCGATCCTGCCCCCAGGGGACACCTGTGGTTGTCACAACTGGGGGACTTCTGGCATTGCAGGGTGGGGCCCAGAGAGGCTGCTCAGCTCCCCCAGTGCCCAGGACACCCCCAGAGAACAAGCTCCAGAGCAGAAGGAAGAAGCCCTGACACACAGAGGCGTCTAGCCACTTCCACATTTATTTTCAGACAGTCTTGCCAAAAGAAACCAATATAGGACTACTTAAAAAAAAAGAAGAAAAAAACTTCAAAAATGTAAAAAGAAATATACCCTGAAATTAAACCTTAATATGGAGACTGACTGCACTGACCCATTCCAGGCCAAGGGGAAAGACAATCCTGCTTTTTCCCATTTTCTGGCACAAAAGCAGTGAGTGGGTGGTGCATTAATGGAGACCAGGGAGGGTTTCCCCAGCGCTGGCGCCAGATACAGAGGTACACGTCACCTGCCGGGTGTGGCCATAGGCCGCTGCACTGCCTCACTGGGACACAGCCTCCACCCTCAGGTTAAGGGGGTCCCGGAGGGGTCCTGTAAGTGAGGGGCTGGCACAGGCATCCCCTGGGGGTGGCGATGTCATTGCCATGGGAGGCCATGCGGCCAGTCCCAGAGGCATGGGGGGGCAGAGCCCCTGGGGAGCACAGAACACTATTTCACTTCTTTCCCCTTCCTCAGTTGAGGCTGCTGAAATCTGGAGAAACGTGTAAAATCCACCCTTTGAGCAGAAGAATGTCAGTGTCGGAAGCGGAGTGCAGCAGGGAAATGGGCTGAAACCCGGTCCAGACCACCCTGAGGCTCCAGCAAACGGGGTGGGCTGGGGGGCTGCCCTGGGACCCTCGGGGCCCTCCTCCTTCCGGGTGTATAACAGGGCTGATCTGCCGGTCTTCCCGTGAACTCTGCCCCCATCCCACGAGGGGCAGCAGTGGGAGGCGGCACGCAGCCGGGCTGCTCACTGGGCACGGGCCGCAGCACGTCGGGAATGAGGGTTTCCACCAGGGCCTGGTACAGGATGTGGTCGCAGCTCCGCATCCACTTGAGAATGGGGTCGCACTTGCACAGGGAGACCAGCTTGTCCTTTGGGAGGACGGCATCTTCGGGGTCCTCGTCGCTGTGGGAACCGGGGGACCGGGTGAGCCACTGTACCCGGGCATTCCCCACACCTGTGGCCAGGGTAACTTCCGGCGATCGTGTGGTGCTCTCTAAACACCCCCCCTTCCCACTGCAGGGAGCAAGCGGGCAGTGGGAACGACAAGCCAGCAGTCAGACGTACAGACATGACACTGGAAGGGTGGCACCTTCAGCCGCAGGTCATTGTGTGGTGTCCGCAGGCTGGGCCACAGGGTAGACCCGGGGCGTCTGGGCCACTTACCTGGCAGGTAGAGAGGTGGGGCCGTTGCCGGAGGACGCTTTCGAATTCCAGAAGGAAATCCACAGCTTCTCAATGTAGTGGAACTGGAGATTCATCACAACACCTAGAGTTGCCTAGGAGCAAACACAGCCAGTCACACTCACAAACGTGCACGTTAAAAAGTGTGCACATCACATGTTGCCAGAACATGCCAAGCAAGCAGCGGCGATGCGGGCTGCAGTGGGGTCATTTGAAAGCCAGAGAGGACCAGAGGGGACACAAGGTTGCGGAGGGAGCCGAGTGTGCTCAGAGCGCAGAGCCCAGCTACCCGCGCCCGGGGGGAGGAGGGGCGGCCCCGTGCCCTCCAGTCCCATGCGTGTGTCTGAGGGCTGGGCTCGGGGTCCTCCCGGGGCTGGGGGCGGTCACCTCGCAGTGCCTCCGGTAGGCCAGCTGCAGGGCCCTGACGTCGCACAACGTGAGGCTGTCCTGCAGCAGGACGCTGTCCAGCTCGGGCGCCGGGAACTCCGGGAAGGCGTGGGAGATGTCTGGGGGAGACAAGCGGGGAGCTGAATGGAGCGGCAGAAGGTCCCCACACAGAGGCCATCTAGGGGGGCCCGTGAGCTGGGGGACAATCCCCAGCACTGGGTCACACCACCCTCACGCTTTGGTTTTCTCAGGTACAGGGTGTGGTTGCTCCCCCAGGCCCCCCACGATATAAAGACACTGATGCGGAGGAAGCCCTGAACCCCGGGCCATCACCCCAGCGTGGGGGCCTCCAGGGCACCGCATCTGTGGAGGAGGTCTCCCGGCTGTCCCTGGTGACCCCTGGGGGAAGGCCTGATGACCTCTCCAGAAGACCCATGTGGGCAGGTTCCATCTGGGCTCAGAAGACACACCGAGAATGCAGGAAGGCACGGGCGGTGTGACCTCGTGACCCCGTGACAGTGCCCCCTGAGCCCATCCTGCGCTAGCTGCCTGCCCCGGAGGCACAGGCCTGGGGACGACCGAGGCAGCCCTGCATCCCCGGGACCCCGGGCAGGGAGACTCAGCTTTAGGGAGTCCTGAGCATCCAGAATATTCCAGGTAAGCAAGGGGGAGAGCCCGGACGGGCAGCCAAACCCCAAGCCGACAGGCTTTAAAACGCACCTGCTTCTTTCTGGCTGGGGTTTCCTCTTATTTACTTTTTTCCGATGGCCACTTTATACATTAACTTTGGGGCACATGCTGGTTATTCTAAACTCGCAGGGGTGCCACAGAAGGTTTGTCTAGGACTTTCTATGGAACGGGAAAGGTGTTATCCAAAAAAACTGCTTATGGAAAGCACCCCTGTGGGTGCCGCCGGTGCCAAAACCCTGAGCACGTGGAAGTGCCGGGGCCCCGAGCCTGCTGGGTGGGCCCTGCGCGGGGCGGCGCTCACCTATATACTGCTGGTGGTGCTGGCTCTGCGCGGCCATCGCCTGCTCCGGCGTGCTCTGCAGGCTGCTGTGCGAGCAGCTCTCCCCGAGGCTGTCCGTCTTCTGGGCCGGCCCGGACCTGGGCGGGGGCCGCGTGACAGCGTGAGGCCCCAGCAGCGCCACCCAGCAGGGGCTCAAAAAGCAGAGGCTGAGTAGGATTCGGTTTAGGGTGTATGTATGAGTGTGTGTCTGTAATGTTCCAAAACTTGTAGCCAAATACACAGAACACAAAATGTACGATCTGTGGTGAACCAGGGACTCCGGCTGCTGATGAAGGGCCCCGGTGGGTTCATCCACCGAAGCGAATGAACCAGCTGGTCCCGGGTTGATAGTGGGGGCGGCTGTGCAGGCGGGGCTGGGGACATAGGAACTCCACGCTTGCCACTCAGTTTTGCTCAGCCTAAAATCGCTCCAGAAAATGATGTCTACTTTCAACAAAGGGGGCTCTGCAGGCTGTTATGATGAGCCTTCATTCTCCCATGTCTTGGGGCCCGGATCGTTTCTCGAGCACAGGATGCAGACTCCCTTGAATGCATGTGCTTAAACTTGAGAAACATGTCTCCCTATGTGCCCAAGTGAAACCCAGACCCCCACTCCCACTGCCACCCCATAAAGTGGGTCCTGGGCTGCCCAGGGCCAGGTCACCTCGGCCTCTGATGGGTGGACTGCTGCCGCATGGCCATGTACTGGGTGTCCTCCGGCAGCTGGTTCAGGGGCGAGTCTGGCTTCAGACGGATCCCGTAGTAATGATACCTGGAGTTGCCCCTGGAAACCAACATCCCAGGGTGAGCACTGTGCAGATGCCCCGGACGCCAAGAAGGGCTCCCCTCCGGCGTGGCCCTCACTGGGACTCTGGGTTCAGTGTTCCTTGGACTGCGTAGGAAACGTCCCTGAGCTGCTCTGTGGTCAGAGAGGTTTAGGAAATTCTGTACACAACGTCTTCCTCTGCAAAGATTTCCCTCCTGAATTTTAGTATGATAAAGGCACTGAGAAGTCCTGCAGTGGGAAAACCAGTTCAGTTTTGTTCCACCTGGCATGGACTAATTACTACATTATTACCACCATCATCTGTCCCCTTCAATCACCTAGCAACATAATTTGGAAGACTGCATGGTTTGGGAAACAGGACATTTGCTTATTGTGGGAGAAACGGTGATGAGGGCTTTAAAAGATTTGGTTCAGAAAACAGGTCAAAGGGCCCTCGTCGGTAGAGAAGCACTGAGGGGCAGACACGGGCTCTGCACTGCCATTTCTCCTGTGCGGGCAACAAGGTTCTGTGGGGGGACATGGGTCCTTCCAGATGAGCTTAGCCAGTGCCGGGGGAAGCCTTAGCCTGAGGTTAGCATCTGGGACACTCGACACTCCGAGGGTGGAGGTCGGGTGGCCGTGTACCAGAGACCAGGGGTCCCCTCTCCTCTCTGCCCTTTTCCCCCTCTCTTGTGTGTCTGTCTGGGCGGGTGTCTATCTGTCTTCCGGATGTCCTCTGTGTATATCTGTCTGTCCTAAAGGTGGCAGGGAATAGGGTCAGGTTTGCATATACTCTCGGCTCTACAGTCTTGCCTTTTAAAGATGGCCAGGATGCCCACAGCTCCTGACCCGACCCCCGCTTGTGTGTGGTGTTACGGATCATGGCCACGCAAGGAATGGCCTTTCGTATGCTCTCCCCCAGGGAGGGGGGGGGCGTCCACATCGTTCCTGGCACGCGATGCTCCCTGGCTGCTGATGGCCAGGCCAGGCCGTGGTGGCCTGGCCCAGCTTAGCAAAAGCATCACAAAACAGCAAGTCCCACTCTACCTGATAATCCAGGGGCTGCTTTTAAAAAACCTGTTATGAAAATTTCAAGTGAAAAGAGAGCCAAAAGGAACCCCATGCCCCACCAGCAGGAGAGAACCGGGCCGCAGCACACACCGGGCCCCAGCTGGGCCGGCGCTGCCCAGACTCGCAGTGCCGAGCTCCCCCAGAGAGAGGGGAGTCAGGACCCGGGGGCAGACGGGGGCAGGGGCTCAGACTCCCCATCTACCCACCTGGTGCCCAGCCGCCGCGTCCTCAGCCCCACGAACACGGAGCGGATCAGCTTCCCGAAGGAGGCAGCGTTCACAGGGTCCAGCTTGCACTCTTGGCAGTGCCGAAGGTACTGGCTGTAAAGGGAGCTCCTGGGGACGCTCACGCCTTCAGCCGTCTCGTAGTTGTCCAGCAGCCACTGGACCTGGGAAGGGGAAGGCGCATGTGTTTGCTGCGACCGCCCCCAAGCGCCAGCATGCACCCACTGAGAGAATCACACACCTTCCCCCCACTGACCTGATGAAAAAATGCGGATCTACTGCCCCTGATTTGGGCCAAGAGATGCTGGACACGTTAATGACCAGCTTCTCGTCACCCATTTAGTGATCCCTTCAGTATTCAGGTTCCTTGACTTAATTTATAAAAATCTGCATGTGACTGAGGCTCTTAGGCTATATCTTCATGATCACTTAAACACCAAATACCTCTTAAACTTACAGGGATGGAGATAAATTCTGACGCCAGGGAAAAGAGGAAGATCAAAGAGAAGTCAGTGGCCCCACAGTAAGCAGTGGAGATGGAGGTGGCGGGAAGGACAGCCCAAAGCCCAGCCAAACCCTCACAAGGCTATGTGCGAGGCTTTGTGCTTAGGCCCAATGGCAGGCCGAGAGACTGTGAAGCCCACGTCGCTGCCCCCAGAGGTCAGGAGGGGGTCAGAAGGGTCTGAGCCGTGCACTCGGCAGCTCAGCCCTGCAGGCGCCGGGGCCCCGAGCGCAGTGCCTCTTGCTCTGACGGAGGGAGGTGTGATGCGAGAACCCAGAAGGCCCTGAGCAGGAGAGGGGTTTGCATGAAGGCAGGAGCCACAATCGCAGGAACCAGGCCTGAGGCAGGATCCTGCAGCAGGCTCGCAGAGGGAGGCGGGAGGTCTGTCGGAGCCACCACACCGGCCACAGACCGCAGCGGCCCCCAGATGCCCGGTCCCTTCTGATCGGCTTGCGTGGTCCTGGAGGCTCCTGAACAGGGAGGTGCCGTGATCTGACCTAAACTTTCGTGGTCACGCTCGGATGGCTGCCCCGAGAAGGGCCTGGAAGTTGGCGACCCGCGAATGAGCCGGTGCTGCCCTTGCTGAGTGGGGTGATAGCAGGAGGGCGGCGGGAGCACGGGCCTAGGTAGTGACGCCCACGGGGAGACGGCCCTTCCCGCCAGGAGCCGGCTGGGGTCAGCAAGGCGGCGAGGAAGGTCAGGAATACTGAAAGAAGACAGCAGTCCAGCCCTGACAACTGCCAGAGGCACACACCACGACAACCGGGAGCAATTTCTGGCCCAGGGGCCCATTGCACGAGGCTGTGTTCTAGCCAAGCCCCACCCTGTCCGTGGCTGTGTCCTTACAGCTCTGTTACCACGCCAGCCCGCAGGCGGCCCCCAGCCAAAGGCATGTATCATCTTTGGCAATCTGTGTTTCTTGATTAAAAAAACAAAGTCCCACCATCTGGATACAATTCAACTAAAACAGGTCCCCACACCCCCAGGTGTTAGAAGTAAGAGTTTATTTAGCAGAGAGTGGCTGCCTCCCCATGACAGTGACTGTATGGGGTCCCTGAGCCAGCGAGGGGTAGGGGCTTCTGAGACGGCATGTGAGGGGTGGCACGGCAGCAGGCACCCCAATGCTTGAGGCCCCTCTCCTGCTTGCAGCGGAGGTTCTTGACCGAAGGCGCCCCAGGCCTGGTGGGACAGCAGCTGCACCTGAAGTGCACCTGGGGGTGGAGGTGTTTTCACCCACTTCCCCTCCTTCTTCTGAAACAACCACCCCTCATCCTCATGCCACCAAGTCACGCCCAGATCTACCTCAGCGACCACACAGGGCCCGCCTCTGCCCATGGCGGGTTGCTCCCCCCAGCCCCCAGGCTGGATGCACCCCTTGGGAAGCTGGAGGTGACCCCACACTGGCTGAGCCTGGAAGGCGCTGTCTGGCCCCAGCTCTGGGCACTCGCCATCCCTGCCCATGCCACAGGAGCGCATCGCGCAGGAGACAAACCCGGTCCCGCTGAGCCTCAGCGCCCAGCTCTGCGCCACTTCGGTTTGATCCGGGTGTGCTTCCTCACGCCTGCCCTGGACCGCACTCCTATCCCAGCTCCTGTTTGCAGGAGGTGCTCAGCACCGACCGTGTTGGGGGCATCACAGCCAGGCTTTGTCTGGGAGGCCACCAGGGAAACAGGCCCATGGAGTGCAGCCCCCCGGCCAGGCCCGTCTGACCCAGGGATGGGCTGGCCAAGGAGCCAGGACTGTGGCTGCCATCACCCAATGCGAGACCGGTGCCGGCTGCAGGCGGCCCCTCCAACAACGGTCAGAGTGAGCCCGGCTGGAGGCCGGAGGGCAGGCCTCACGGCTGACGGATGTGCGGGGCGTCTGCGGGACCCCCACCCTGTCCGCCAGCATGCCCACGGTCTTCCGCTCTCCACTCTCGCCAGCTGTCCAGTTTGCCAAGATGAGTTCTTGGTCGGTTTTACTCCAGTGTGTGTGGGTGGCTCCTTGGAAAGATCTTATTTTTGTTGTCTTTGATTCTAAGTCGCAAGCCCCAGACCCTGCCTCCCACAGCTCCTGATGGAAGAAGGCAACTCAGCCAATCACCAGGGAGGAACAGACATGAGGAGATTCTTCCTGCTCAGGAAGTAGGCTCGGGAACGTGAAGCCGTAGGGAAGCTGCCACAGAAAGTCGGCCTCCCAAGGGAAAGCGTTAGAAAGCCGGAAGACATCCCGCAGCCAGAGGCAAGCGGCTCGTGCACCTCCCTGCAGACACCTGGGGTTTCCTGCGGGCACCGCCTGCCTGGGGCTTGTGCCTGTGGCTGACCCAGCGCCTGGGCCCTGGAGGCCACCTGTGCGCTCTAAGCTGAGAAGTGTCTGGCCCCTGCTAAACGGAGATGGCCATCCTGCAGGCTCCTGCACACAGTGTGCTCTGAGTTCACGACTAGGGTATCTCCTCCCCAGATCCACCCACAGGGGTGACATCGTGGGCAACATGGAGGCCATGACCCACTGGGCTGGGGTGGGGCACGCTCCGCGGGGACCCACTGTGCGTTACTGTTTGCTTAAGGACCACGCATGTGACTAATCCCCCCAGTGAGCGGCCTCTGAGGCTGATGAGCGTGGGGCCCTGGGTCATGGGGCCTGGAGCAGCCGGCCATGCCTGTGCCAACCCATTAGGCACGGAAGTTTCTGGATCTTTTCTCAGCTGGGCGTCTACCCCAGAATCACTTGCCTTCTGCGCAACACCCTGCCTTGAGTGTCAGCCAGTGTCAAGGTCCTGATGGGGCCACAGTCAGGAAATAAAGACTCTTAGCCAGTCACCTGCTCCAGTCCCAGCCTGCCCCACAGGCTGCCCAGTGACCTCCTGGCATGGAAACTGCCCTCACATTCTCCTCGGGAGGAAAGTGGGGGAGGAAGATCCTACACAGCAAAAGTCAGTAGGAGTTGGTGGTCTGCACTTTTCTTAAATTACCTTCTTTCCCCCAAAATTGCTAATCACAGGAAACTTAGCTAAGAATCATCCTGGCACCCACAGTCCTGTGACTTTTTTCATTGTTATTGCTTATTTTAGTTATTAGTTTATTTATAATGCGTATATGCCAGGCATTGTTGGGAGTATGTCACACAGATTCAATGACTTACCCCCATAGCCCCCTGAAGAGGCAGGTACTATTATAAGCTACCTTTATGAGCAAGGAAGCTGGCTTCCGTGGCCCATGTGGCTGAAAGGAGTTTTTGGTGGGTGTAGGATTTAAGTCGGAGGCTGCTTCCCCCCACATCACCATTTGAAAGGTGTCATTTCATTGTCTTTCTTTTTTTTTAAAATGCCCCAAAGGTTAAGAGCACCACAGGGCAGGCCACCAGGGCAGGTCGACAACACACTTACATGGCTGTTGAGTAAATCGCTTTTGTGTGATGTGATCCCTTCGCTTTTTTGGAGGTTTTCAATCGCCATTTCAAGCTAAAGAAAACGTGTGCAGAAACAAAACAAAACAAAATGGAAAAAAAAAAAGGACATCAGATGGTTAGCATCAGCCAAGATTTGTTTTTATTAATATCCAAATAATGACTCAAGCGCCTACAAAATAGAAATGAGGCTTGATGCGGGCGGGTGGGAGGAGACGGGTTAGACTGCGAGGGAAAGTTGTGGCCAGGGGTGTCACCTCATGCATGCGGAGGAGCCCCGAGCCCGTGGGCACAAGCAGCAGAATGAAGTCACGCTGGGAACACTGGCTTTTGAGTCTGGACACGACACCTGCATGCGTGCACACGCCGCATGAAGACTGAGCTGCTGCGCAAGTTCAAGTGCAGCCACAGCCAGCCTCCTGACCGCCCGCTGCTCCCCATGCCCGCCGCCTGGTGCCAGGAAGAGACAGAAGAACCACAGACCCCAAGGACAGGTGGTGCCCCTGGCTTCTGGTCAGCCTGTCCCATCATGAAGCCCAGGGCCTCTCTCCCTCCTGGATGCTTCAGGAAAGTGCCACCGAGGCCAAGGACCCCTACGCATCAGAGGGGCAGGACCTGGGCCGGGCCAGTGGACACAGCACAGAGATAAGCTCCCGAATGCTTAGGAAGTGTGAGCTGCACAAAGGGGTTTACACAGAAATGAGAGCAGAGTCGCAGGGGAAAGTCTAACAGAGAGGACCTCCCGGGCGAGGGCTTCTGAGCTGGGCTGTAAGGACCCCACGGAGGCCAGGGGCTGAGGAGGTGGGGCAGGTTTACACAAACTAGGAAACACCCAGTTGTGGGTGGCCACCACCGCATTCGTACACGCTGAATCTGACCTTGCCCTCGTACAGGGAACGTAAAAATTTAAATCTGCGGGCGCCCACCACGAAAGGCCAGGTCCTGCAATGGAAGGAAATGCAAGCAAAGTGTTTGCTGTCTCTCCCCAAGCACCAGGGGAGACAAAACTTCAGTGGCACTTATGCAAAAAAGCAGATAGAACGTGTATTTCAGAAGGTGCCACAGGTCTGAACTCAGGAACAAGGGGTCACCGGCCCGCCCGTCACCTCTCCCCACCACTGCTGCAGACGCCCGCTCTCGCCACCTCTCATCAACTTCTCGTCACTTCTCGTCAACACCGTACTGGAGGGTCTAGCCAGGGCGATCCCGCAGTACTGAGAAATGAAAGGCATCCAGATCGGAAAGGAAGAGGTAAAAATATCTCTGTTTGTAGGTGACAGGAGCTTAAATGTAGAAAATCCTGAAGGATTGACAAAAAACTATGAGCGCTTATAAACAAATGCACTGAATTTTCAGGACATAAGATCAACACACACATACCAGTTATATTTCTAAACAATGAACACTATGAAATGAAATGAAAAAAATGATCCCATGACTACAGCATCAGAGAGAATGAAATACCTAGGACTAAATTAACCAAGGAGTTGAAACACTGAAAACTGTCAGATATGCCTAAGAGAAATCAAAGGTCTAAATAAGCAGAATGGCATCCTATGTTCATGGATTAGAAGCCTTCATATTAAGACGGCATTATTTCCCAAACTGATACACAGATTCAGTGCAATTCCATATTGAAATTGGCCATTAAACTTCCAACTGCTTTTTCAGAAATGGACAAGCTGATTTTAAAATTCATAGGGCATTACAAGGGACCCCAAAGAGCAAAAACAAGCTTGAAAAAGAACAACAAAGTTGTAAATTTACACTTCCTGATCTCAAAACTTACACTGTTACAAGTAACCAAAACCGTGCAGTGCTGGGATATGGGTAGACATATAGATGCACACTTATCAGTGGATTAGAATTGAGAATCCCAAAATAATCCCATACTTCTGTGGTCAATTGGTTTTTGGCAGGGGTATCAGGACCATTCAAAGGAGAAAGAATAAACTTTTTAACAAATGCTGCTGGGATAACTGGATAGCCTCATACAGAAGAATGAAGTGGGATCCTTACCTTACACTATGTACAAACATCGACTCAAAATGGATCAAAGAACTAAATGTAAGAGCTAAAACTGAAACTCATACAGGAAATCATTTAAAATAGGGTTATCTTGATGTCTTGAATTTGGCAATGGGTCCTTAGGTCTAACACCAAAACACAAAAACAGAATAAAAGACAGAAAATACTTGAAAATATAAACTGGACTTCATCAAAATTAAAAGCTTCTGTACATTAAAGGGCACTATCAAGGGAGTGAAGAGACAGCTCATAGAACGGGAGAACTTGTTTGCAAATTGGTTAAGAGTCTTGTATCTAGAATTTACAAAGATCTCTTACAATGCAACAAAATGATAAGATGACTCAATTAAAAAACAGGTAAAGGGCTTGAACAGGCATGTCTCCAATGAGCACGTGAAAAGATGCTCAACATCGCTGGTCATTAGAGAAATACAAACCAAAACCACAGTGAAATACCAGTTCACCCCCACTAGTGTTGTTTATTTGGCTATAAAAAGCAAAATAAAATAAGAGCAAGTGTTGGTGAGGATGCGGAGAAACTGGAACCCTCCAACCTTGCTGGTGGGAATGGAAACAGGCTGACAGTTTCTCAAAAAGTTGAATATAAACTCAGTTAAGCCACATGACCCAGCAATTCCACTTCTAGGTATATAGAGAAGATAACTGAAAACATGTTCAAACAAAAGGTGTACACAAATGTTTACAGCAGCATTATTCATAATAGCAAAGGCAGAAAAACTCAAATGTCAACCACAGATGGGAGATCAACAAAATGTGGTATATCCGTACATCGGAATATTAATCCTTCACCAAAAGGACCCAAGTAGTGATCCGTGTGACAATGTGGGTGGACCCTGAACGCGCACGCACACTGCTCCGTGAAAGACACTGGACACAAAAGGTCACATCGTACGTGATCCCATTTTGTGAAAAGTCCAGAGAAGGCAAATCCACGGAGAGAAACAGCAGATTAGCTGCCAGAGGCCGAAGGAGGAGGAGGGAATGAGGGGATGACTGCTAATTGGTGAAGGGGTTCCCTCTCGGGCGGTGAGAATGTTCTGGAACTAGATAGAGTAACGGTCACACAACACTGTAATGTATCGAATGCCACTGACTCCCATACTTTCAAATGGTTAAAACAGTGAATTTTACCTCCATAAAAAACACGTAACTGATTAAAAAACCCATTAGTCTCTCTTGCAGTTCGAATGCTATTTCACCCACATGTATGGTTTCATAACGCCATGCACCAGTCACTTGGAACATACTGGTTCCCTGCCCTCGCAGAGCTTTCAATGCTGACACACTTCATTGCACGGTACTGGAAAACCACACTAGTCTATATCACTACTAACCTCATTGCAAAGACACTAGCTCTTCAAATTCCCTATTTCTTCTGGTTTGAAAACACAGTGCCAACAAAATCTGTCAGTCATCTCCAGGGCCTGTCAGGCTCACGCTGTTTATTTTCGAGGCGTATCTGGCAAATCTCCGAGTCCGAACCACCACCATTTGTCTGTTATGTTTTTCAAGCAAAACAGCATCTCGTAAAACAAGTAGCTGGTGCTGCTCAGAACTCATTTGCACAGGGGCCTTTCCTTGGGACGGTCACGGTCCTGTGGCCGGCAGCTAAAGAGCCTTCTTTCACACAGCATATTAAAAAGATGGGTACCCGAGGATTGAGATTTAAGAAAGGTAGAAATTTTTACTGCTTCATCAAGGACCATGAAAAGAACTGTATTTGGTATTTCTCTTTACTTTTCCTTTTTCCCTGAGCACAGGATGGTGAGGGATGCAGTGGCTTCTAGAAGTGTTTGACGCCTCTGCCTTGGTTCGTGTCCTGCTGTTTCAACAATGTTGGTTTTGTACAATCAGTGCAGATATCGGCCCAGGGAACCCGGCAACTAATGGCTTAGAGGATTACGAAAGCAGTTTTGACCTCGTGGAGCCCCTGAAAGGGTCTCAGGGCACCCGGAGGTTTGCAGGACGCGCTTTAGACTGCTGAGGACCATGGAGTTACGAGTAATTTGTATCAAATACAAATTGAGACTTGCTTCCTAAGACCACCTTCAAACTCCCAGGACTGTTAAATAGGGTCTGAACAAGCCTGCCAATAGATACAGAAAACTACCTAAATGCACAGTGGAATCCCAGAAGGTGGCTCCTTGTCGGGTAAACATCTCAAGGCTGTGAAAGTCAGGAAAACACCCCCAAGCCCCTCCTGGCCAGACAGGAAGGTTGATGCCCTGCCGGAGGCGTCGAGGCGCAGTGCGCACATGCGTCCAGCAGAGGGCGCTGCGGCAACGCGTCCCCGTCCAGCCGCAGGGCACGAGGGCATCTCGCGCTTGAACTTGAAACCCCGGGAGCGATTCCTACTGTACGAGAAAAAACGCCTCATTCTGTCCGCTCAGTGGATGGAGAAATTAGTGTTTAGGCTTTAAACATGCTTCAAATGAATGCTTATTTTATGTTTGACCGGAATTTACTTTTTTACTCTTCAAAAAATTGTATCAAGGCGCTACACGCACAGGCACACAAGTCAGACAGACAGCAGGGGAGGGCCGAGGATGGCCGCGGGGGTGCCCTGGCCCCAGCGCCCCAGGCCCAGGCCGCCTGCCCTAAATGGTTCCTGTTTCTTGAGCTTCTGGTAGCATCCTTCACATGTTAGTATTATGTGTGCGTTTGCTCATCTATTTCTTGACTTAACCTTTTATTTTTGATTCGGTGCAGTGTAGCATGCATTCCTTTTCATTAACCGTTGCATATCATTTTTTCTGCTACATGAATTATTACAGGACTTCAAGCTTTCAGGGCTCATTTGGAAGGAGGCCAGAAAATGTGTAAGGGCTTGTGATCAAAGATACAGTGTCCTAAGAACCTAACACAGGAGCACAGAGCAGACAAGAAGGTTTAACGGCTCCCAAGTATATTTAATATATTAAAATTAATTATATTAAAATTAGCTACTTATTTAAAAAGTGCTTTTCCGTTCATGTGTAGTCATAGCAAGATGCCCCCTGACCTGGC